CCTCCAAGGGATCAAAGGCAAGGGAGCATGCGCAATTTGCTGAATAAGGGCTGTTTATGGCGCAGTCGTCAGAGCAAGAGAGTCCGTCAACGCTCTGCCGAAAGTCGTGGATTTTTTGTCAAGTGCTGCGGTTTCCTCCCACAAGGAAAGTTGACAGGGAGGCCAGGTTATATAGGATAAACACAGTTACGAAATAATATCACAATTGTTGTAAAGATAAAATAGTCTGGGCTAAGTTTGTAATTAGGTATAAGCGTAATACTTGATGTAAAGCGCATTTGATGATATCCACATGAAAATTTGCGCCATGGAAATGCTAATCTTATTACATTATTAATAATATACATAGAAATATTACTCGACTGTGATTGGTAGGTTTCAGTGCATTTAATCCCAAACAGCAGTGCAAAAATCTGTAACAACAGTGCAAACATCTGTAACAACAGTGCAAAAATCTGTAACAACAGTGCAAAAATCTGTAACAACAGTGCAAAAATCTGTAACAAACTGATCTGATTGGTGGCAAAACATTGTGATGATAAAATCAACCAATCAGTTTAAAGCAGTATAACGGACACGGATTGCTTCAAAACAAAACAAAACAAAACAAACATGGCGCCGCGCTACATAAAGTAAAAGTTGACTTCGCGTGGAAAATATGGCTTTTATCTTTATTTTTAAATGGAAAAGCCTTTACCTTAAACAAGACTAACAAAGTTACACTGTTGAGTGCAATTTTCAAGCTGTTAGCGTTGTATAATGCGATATAATAATAAAGCCAGGAAAACTTTGCCAGTGGAATGTTCGCTATAAACGCATAAGTTAAAACTGCAATTGTCTCGAACATTTTTATGTAAATTAATGCTATTACCTATACTTAAAACATTATTTAAATACATTTTATAAAAAAATGTATTATTGCTGTAAATTACTCACCATTAAACCATATCTCGCATCGACTACTGCAACAATTCCTAAAATAAAATATTATTCAATACTTAATTAAAAAAGAGTAGTAACAATTCTGTTATTCACTAAAAGTAGTTGCAAGAAATAACCTTCTCAAGCAAATTTCAGTCGACTGAAAACCTATATAACCACAGATTAAACGCATACAGAAGTACAACATTTTGTCGGCGTCTTTGATATTAGCGTAACCGCCGCCACGCCTTGATTCGCAAAGCACTCGCTATGTTCCTTGCCAGTGCGCTAAGGAGAGGCCGTCACCCCCTGAAAACATTAAAAAAAGCCGACTTGGCTTAATAATAATAATAATAATAATAATAATGGTTTATTCACAGCATATCCATTACAAACAGAATGGCTCTTCACCTGTAAAATTATCTACATTATACTAAATATACAGTAATCTATTATCATACAAGAACTACAAAAGTTAAAAAAGACAAATAATCCAATTGCAATGCAAATCGGAATCATTCACTGTTTTTACAATGTTTTTTTATACAACGACAGAAAGTTCTAAAATTGTTAATATTCCTGATTTCTGCCGGAAGCTAATTAAAAATGGAGGCTGCTGAGTCTTGAAATGTTCCTGACTCCTTGGGAATATCCAGGACAGGTGCAGAAGATGATCTTAGACTATATGCATTAACGCAATGTAGCGATAATCTTAAATATTCTGGAAAAGAGTCGTCATTTAAAGCTTTATATGCTAATATTAAAATATTAAAATCCATCCTTTTACTAATGTTTAGCCAGTTCAAGGTGGCAAGGTCTTCCTGTCTTGCAAATCTCCTTACCACAAAACCCGCGCATGCATTTTGGAGGCGTTGAAGTCGTTTTTGTTGGTATATTGGCAATGGGTGGAATACAGGACTAGCATAGTCAATTTTGGAAAGCACAAGGCTTTCAACCAGTGTTTTTCTCACATGAAAAGGCGTCAAATTCTTCAGCTTTTTCAACACTGCTAGTATTGCATAACAAGAAGTTAGCAAATAGTCGATATGTGAAGACCATGAAAGATGCTCGTTCAAATAAATTCCTAGAAGATTTTTACATTTTATTCGTTCAAGGAATTTGTCCCACATTTAATACTAAACGTACGGTCACCGAGATCATGAGCACGTGCCATCTGAAGTGTGGAAACTAGCATCCAGTCAGTTTTGGAGGAATTCAGTGCTAAATTAGAGCATTGAGAATAATCGACCAATCGCACTATAGCATCATTAACTTCTTTTACAGCCGAGTCTAGATCACATACTTTTGAATGGGTATAAAACGATGTATCGTCTGCACATTGATAGGAAGGTAGTTGAAGCTTTTCCTGTAAATCAGCGACGTATAGATTGAAAATCGCCGGTCCAAGAACTGAGCCTTGTGGTACGCCAAATTCTACGGTAAGAAGACTAGATTTACTATCGTTGATTTGTACCAACTGTTGTGTATTTGTAAGATAGTTAATCATCCAGAGCAGAAATGATTTTGAAAAACCCAATCCATGCATTTTAGTCAGAACAGACCTGAACTGTACAGTATCAAAAGCTTTGCTATAGTCTGCATAAACCATTAGAGTTACCTCTCCTTTCTTTGATGCTCGAATCAACGCGTCTCGAATACCCAGCAACACAGTTGTTGTCGAATGCCCTTTTCGAAATCCAGATATCGTAGCTCCAAGAAGCGCCCTTTCTTCAATATACGCAATCATCTGATTTAAAACAAGCCGCTCAAATACCTTTGATAACGCCGGCAAAATTGAGACTGGTCTATAGTCCGCCTCACACAAAGGTTGATCTATTTTAGGGATGGGCGATATTCTTGCAATTTTCCACGCTTCTGGAAAGGCCGACCTAGCAATACAATTGTTTATTATGTATTGTAAAGGACCCACCAGATGTTCTCTCGCCAGTTTTACAAACTTAACCGGTATATTATCAATGCCAGTAGATGTGTCTGAGCGGAGTTTGTCAATTTCGCACAACACCTCACAATGCAAAACGGATCGTAAAGAGAATGATTGCTGTGGCGTTGTACCATCGGAAAGAGAATCAATGAATTCAAGTAGATCTGATAGTGCAGCTGGCTTGGTTCCTAATGTCCTTTCGTACTTTAATGGAGCGTGTCTCTCTATACATTCACTGAACAAAGTGTTGAGTGCATTTACCATGTCGTCGGGTGATTCTAATCCATATATTATGGAAAACGGTAGGTTAGCGGAGTCTTGAAGAAATTCTTCGGTTACAAATTTCCTCTCCAGCCGTATCCATTTGTATCTAGGTTGAAAACGGTGCACACGCACGTTTACACAGGCAAAAACTGCATCATGGTCGCTGATCGTAGGAGCTGGGATTATTCCCGTAGCTGCCACACAATGCGGGTCATTGGTTACAATATGATCAATTAAAGTTTTTGAATTTTGCGTGACACATGTTGGTTTTGTGACATGTTGAGTAAGTCCAAAAATTTCCAGAATTGATTGATACTTTTTGCTTAGAGGATCATTAGGTTTCAATAAATCAATATTGATATCACCAGTAACTAAAAGCAGGCCATCCCATGATACGGTGAGATGACCCAGCAAAAACTGTCTAACCAATCTGAAGAGCTTTGAATTCGCTCGGATCGATAGATCACACCGATCAATGCTTTACTGTTCTTGTTTCGTCCTGGCACTTCAAACCATAATTGTTCCATATTTGGTTGAAGATTCTCAATGTCCTTTCTTCGCTTGTACTTGATCGAGTTGCTAATATATGCTCCTACACCACCCCCACGGATCTTGTCACGGTTTCGAAACACTGCTCCGTAACCGGACAAAGAAACATATTCTAAAAGTGCGGGATTTTCCTTGAGCCACGTTTCACTCATAGTGATAACATCCATCGGATACTGAGATAAAAAGACCTGGAACTCGTTGAAAGAGGACACCATACTCTGGGTATTTAAATGCATTAAACTGAGATGTCGTGGATGTTCCTTTAAGATATTTACAACAGATTCACAAATGTCCTCATAAGACGCGTTTAAACTTTCATCAACATCCGACATACCTAGAGTTGGACAGTTACTAAAAGGGAGTACAGTAAACAAACATTTTGGGCAAGTCCAAGTGGAAGTTAAACATTTGGTATTAAGTTCCATGCATTTTAGATGCTGTTGACCAAAACAAATCTCACAAGTCACGCTTTTCTGATTTTTCTGAATAGTTTTTATACAATTATCACATTTGACACTCACGGGACCAGGATTTGTCTTGATATCCCCAGATAACAACAGGACCTGGAAAGTTGCAGTGCCATTTGTATAATATAAAGCTCTTGCCTTAGATTTCTTTGTCTTATATAATCCCGTTTGTCTGCTGAACACTAATTTGCAGGTTAATGGCCATATTCGTGCTTTGAACAACAAAGAACTAAAATTAAGGCTTCCGGAACCCCGTTTAATTGCTTCAACATAATTTAAATTGCAGATCATTTCGCTTTTGCAATGGCCCAAGTCTAAAATTTCGGAAAATGTATGTCCATAAGCTGGCAAGTTATACATGAATACCCCATATTCAAAATGTTCAATCGATTCATACAGCGCTTCCCGTTCTCCGATACCTAGACTATGATTAAATCTGATAAAAAAAAATCACACACACCGACCGTAGTGTTACAACAAACATTGCAAATATCGTCGCTTCTCTCGAGGCACGATGTAGCAAAAGTTTCCAAATTTTGACAAACTTCTCCCAAAAATCCATCCTCGTCATTTGCCAAAGCAAATAAAAGAGTAGATAAAAACGTCGAAAGCAGCGGAGCTCCAAAACCCATGACTAGCCGCCATGACTATATTGCTAACTTATACCGCCATGACTATATTGCTAGCTTATTTCGCAATTCGCAAATTAAATTATCTGATAAGATGAAGGACATGAAGTACTTGCAACCAAACAAGTCCTTAAGGTCTTTTAAGACTTTCTAAGACTTTTTAAGGTGTTTCAAGAATTTAAAACTACAAATTGGAGATGGATTATCAGGATATTACAGGTATTAGAATCTTTGAAGACTGCTGAAATGTGTTCGGAAAGTGAATGAAATGACCTGAAACGATAAACAGTATTTTTTCCTTCGCGCTTCACGGTAAAATTTTTAGTGTTTTCACGACTGACTGTAACCGAAATTGAGCAATCACAACTCACGATATACCCCATCAGCACCCTCTTGAAAATAACACTCTAAAAAGTGTTTTGGATTGTGATTCAAACAAGACTATTATGAAAAAGATATCTTGAAAGGGGCCGAAGTTATGTTCGGCAAAATGTATGCCTTTATGATACATTTTATTACAGTGTTTACATTTTTTGGGAATATTGTGTAATCTAATTAAATATGATATCCCTTGCTCTTTAAAGGTTGTAAATTGCTATAATGTTGACATTTTACTATATCTATCAATAGGAATTTTTCACAGAATCAAATGGGGTGTTATTGTCATCTACATAGCATGCACTGAACCGAAGATATGAACCTGCAAAATACCAGGTCGATTTCAATCTGGTTATTTCAGTACCAAACGAAAAAGAGTTAAACCTTTATTCTTGTTCAAATTAAGCTGTGTTGTGTCACAAAATCAGTGTTCTTTTGATGTAATTTCAGACTTTGGCCTTCATGGCGGCCTTCAATGTGGCTTCAAAGATGGCAGCTGAGTTATTGTTCCAGTCTTATTAGAATTCACTGTTTCGAACCCACCTCCACCAGTAGGTGGGTTTGAGTTTGATTGCACTGCACTTCCTTGTAGCCAATAGGCAAAGTGACTGGCAAAACACCACGTAAAAAGGGAGAGATCTTTAATTCATATTTCTCATCTGTCTTTCAAAAATCAAGAGTTCACTCAGACAATGGTGATGTGCGGTTCAGTTATCAAGCGACTCGGAATTATCCAAAATCACTGTAAGTGAGATAGAAGTCAAAAGGTATTTGCATAATTTAGATAGGAATAAATTGCATGGACCATATGAAATCCATCCTCGTTTATTGAAAGAGTGGTATGAAGAAATTGGACCAAGCCTGTGTGCTCTTTCTAATCATTCTTTAAACTGTGGTAGATTGCCAATGGAAAGGAAGTCTGCCAACATAACCTGTCCACAAGAAGGAATCTAAGAAACTTGCTGAGCACTATCGTCAAATCTCACTGTTGTCTATCGTAAGCAAGACACTCGAACGCTGTGTAAGCAATAATCTCTACCGCCATGTTTCTGGCCTTATCTCGAATGAACAGCACGGTTTCATTAGAAATCAATCGTTTGTCACACAGCTCCTGTCCATCTACCATACCATCGGAGAGAACTTAGATAGAAACATCCAAACAGATATCCTGTATTTGGACTTCACTAAATCTTTGGCTCGGTGGACAACAATTTTGCTTGCGAAGTTAAAGTTGTACAGAGTGACAGGTAATTTGCTGAACTTGTTTGCTGACTATCTCCATGGTCACCTCCAAAGGGTCGTTGTAGACAGTGTTGCCTCACAGTGGACGTCTGTTATGTCTGGAGTTCCACAGGGAAGTATACTTGGTCACATACTATTTACAATCTTCATAAATTACTACTTTCCTAATGTTGTCTTGGACAAGTCCCGGACGGCTCTCTATGCTGATGATTCAAAAGCTTATGAAAGTATTTCGAGTATGCAATGTTGCAAAAATCTACAACAATCTCTAGATAGTCTCAACACCTGGAGCTATATTAACAATATGTCATTTAATGCATCGAAATGTAAAGTTCTGACAGTGACAACTGACGAGGAAACTAAATCCAGTTAATTTTGACTATCACCTTAAGGATAAAACACTGGCTCCTGTCAGAAAAGAGAAAGATCTCAGAGTTTTTATAACAAGCAACCTCACTTGGGACCAGCAAATTCTGGCCGTTGTAAGTAAAGCCAACAAGATGCTTGGCCTTCTATGTAGGACTTGTCCTCTGATCAAAGACACCAGAGTAAGACGATCACTCTATCTCTCGCTGGTTAAGTGTCACTTGAACTATGTGGCCGAAGTTTGGTCTCCGGCACATATTTTGCTCAAACATAAAGTTGAAAACGTCCAAAGAAGAGCGACAAGATGGATACTACAGCAACGAATGGGACAGCAGTAGTACAAGGATCGGCTAGTGACATTAGATCTTCTACTGCTTTGCTATGACAAGGAGTTGAAAGACTTGATATTCTTTTACAAGGCCTCGCATGGATACATTGACATAGACATTTCCAACTTTGTTTCCTTTGTCAATAATGGTCGAACCAGGTGAAGTCATTTGAGAACACTGAAAACACTATACTGTCGAACCAGCACCTTTCAGTCATCCTATTTCAACCGCATCGTCAAGCTTTGGAACAAGACCATTCTCGTTGCTGCTCTGAGAAACTTCTCTAGTTTATTGCTCTTTAAAAGGTCAATTAAGGACTTGCATGTTTAAATTGGAGCTGAAAATTTGACTTGTCGATGCCTTGCACATGGACGTTTGTGCCTGACTGTTCTTGCCATAGGCAATCAACTAATCGTTAAGATGGCTTGATAGTCAAAATTGCTGGAAAAAAGTGCTTTTCTGCAACCATGAAATTTTGCATCTAGGACCATTCTAGTTTCCCTTAGAAAATGTTTTATTTGGATATGTAGCTTATTTTCCATCAAAATAGACTATTTAGTACACAAGGTTGTTCACTTTGAATGTCATTGCCATGGAAACCATATTTGTTTTTGTGGTAAAAATGATTTATTTTGTACCCTATATATCCCAAAAACATTTACTAGCCACTTTAAATGGAAGAGTAGCTAAAGGCCTGTTAACTAGTTTATAAATTGTGAAGGAGTGGTTACATGTGCAAAAACATTTTTGTCAGAATCCGAAAAGCAAACATAGCTGTCTAACTTTGGTTGAATAATAATTCCTAGGAAGAAATTTAGACGTATAAAGAGGAAAAAAAGGCAGTTTACAGGTAATAAGTACACATGGCAACGTAATTCTGAACAAATATCAGTGACTGGAGTGAACATTTCGACTGAAGAGATGTCAAGCGAGAGTTCTGTTGATGAGCCTGTGCAAATTGAGACAAAAGATGTGTCTGCTTCTGGGAGAAAACTTGATTTGGAAAGTTCCAGTGAGGATCAAATAGAACTACCAGAAAGGACCGAAGGTTTTCGTTTTGTTGACATTACTATACTAGCAGAAATAATGTGGCCATATAATTATGAAGGAGAAACTTGAAGGAAAAAAAGGATTTGCATCACAGATGATTCTTGAATGTTCTGCTCGGAATTGTAAGTACTCAAGGAGTTTTTATACATCAAAAACTGTGTGTAATGGGAAAGCTTTTGAGGTAAATCGTAGAGATGTGTTGGCTGGACGAAACATTGGCATTGGACACCGAGGACATTCAAAATTTGCTTGCACCATGAACATGCTACCACCTATGAATGAAAATGCACACCGCGATCATGTTAGAGCCATACATGCTGCTGCCGAAGTCGTCTGCAAGGAAAGTATGAATAATGCAAGTGATGAACAGTTTTATGAAGTTGAAGAGGATGGGAACTATGATATTGGCATTTCAGCTGATGGGACGTGGAGACAAAGGGGATATTCGTCCTCGTATGGTGTTGACTGGGATGTCCTTAGTTACAAGCAAGGTTTTGGATGTAGAAGTGATGTCAAAAGAGTGTCGATAATGTATTTTATGGAGAGGGAAAGAAGGGACAATCGAGTTTGAGGAGTGGTGGGAGGGACATCAGCATAATTGCCATGCGAATGTTGAAGAATCATCAGGAACAATGGATGCTGCTGGATGTGTGGCTATCTTTCAACGATCCATTGAGAAGTATGGTTTACATTATATCGACTTTATGGGAGATGGGGACAGCAAGGCATTCAATGAGAACACAGAAAAGGATGTGTATGAGGGTGTGAATATCAAGAAGCTTGAATGTGTTGGGCACGTTCAGAAACGTATGGGCTCACAGCTTTGATCCCTGAAGAAAAGCTGTGGTAAGACTCATCTTGATGATGGTAAGCCAGTTGGGGGACGAGGAAGACTAACAATGTTATAGATAGCTTACAAGTGTATTATGGTAAAGCTATTAGAAACAGTAACCATTCTGTAAAAGCAATGCAAGATGCTATTTGGGCCATTCGGTATCACATGCAGTCAACAGATGAGAAACATAACCACACTCTCTGCCCTGCTGGGAAATATTCCTGGTGTGGCTTCCAAAGAGATCTTGCAAATGGAACAACCACCTACTCTCGATTCGGCCAGTCTTTGAAGCACTAACTGCAGAGGAATTGCTATCTAGTTGTCTTCATGGTGGCACTCGAAACCAAAATGAGGCTTTCAATGCACTGATTTGGCAGCGTGCTACTAAGGAGACCCATTCTAGCCTCCCCACTGTTGAATTAGCAACTTATTTAGCAGTGGGTCACTTCAATGATGGATCTGGATTACTATCAGTTCCGGAAAATCTTGGCATTGTACTTGGAAGCCATGCAACAAAAACATGTCAGAAGTTTGACAGGGACCGGGTTCGCGACTCGTGCCGAAAGGGCTCTGATGCCTGTAAAAAGCGCCGCAGACAGATAAGGCAGAAGAAAAAGGGTTACAATGAAACCCAACAAGCTAAAGAAGGACCCAAGTATGAGGCTGGTGGTTTTTAACCAGGAACATGCACTTTTTCTAAAGTTAAACATTGAAATCACACTTTAACTGGTTTTTTCTTATATTCTAAAATTTCAGTGTTGCAAGTGCCAATTTTTGTGATATCTTCAGAAATATTGTACATACAAGTATGAAATTTTCACTGTAACTTCAAATTCATATAGCTTAAAACAAAAAGGTGTGTTGAAACATTTATTATTCTAATTTGATCCAGTTACCAGAAAATGGTCACTGTTTGTGCGGGCTCATCAAAATGCCAGTTTGTGCATAACCTCGAAAGTGATGGCCATGAGAAGTGGATTTTATGTGAGCAGTGCTTGTTGTGGTATCACAAAAGTTGTGTATACTACACAAAAGGGAGGAGTTTGCCATCGTGTTGGTTCTGCAGTTGTATGAAACAACCTGAATGCATTTGTTACTGTGATACATACATGCATACATTTTTAAATTTAGACCTTTGCACTACCCAGTCGCCTGTAACTACAAGTCGATATTAAACTTGTTATACGTACCCTTCCAATCTTTTTTTGTCTGTCGATTTTCTCCGCTGACAAAGGAAACTCGAGTACCTGCAGAAATACAAAATTATATCCATGTTAATTTTTACAAAATTGATGAATTAACTCGTTACCACTTGCAAGTAAACAAACAAAATTTTCAACTGCTTTCTTTTTCCCTAAGTTTTTTGTTTCATCTTCATAACTTTCAGGGGTGAGGATTTTGATGATCCAGTCAAACTTCGACGATCCTTTGTTAGATCCCCTAATGCCGAATTGAAAGTAGAGCCATAATCTTCTCTTCAAATAGCATATATGTTTATTTTGAACTGGACAATAATTGTTATAAAGGCAGACTGATACAACGTAATTATACATATATTTTAGTATACATATTTTCAGTTAAAGCTACACATGCCAATCGAGAAATAGAATTTTTAATTAATCTTGCTGTGTAAGATTCAACATAGCATAATTATAGATATGAGGAATATATTGTGTGCAACAACAAATTGTGTATATAGTTACATACAGTATAGCGGACACTCAGAAATTACCCACAAATTTCCCACGATTGCAGAGGCATGGACAGTGTCAGGCTTTACAATTGAACATTGGGTTGCCCTTATGATGTCACTAATAAAACAATTGCAAGTTTGCGGCCATATCGTGCTGACTTAATAATTAAGTCTGGTGGCTATGGGACAAAATATTAATCTATGTAAATGAACTTTATAGTAGCTTAATTTAAGTTTGGAGGTTTTAATGAGTACTGTCAATTATTGTTTCAAATCTACAATTTGTTTTACCCATTTGCCATGAGATTGTAAGGACAGTAACAATGAACAATATGTTGTGTATATTTTATCGATTTATTTACAATGAAACGAAAAATTAAGCAATTACTTGTGAGTACTGTTAACAAGTACTGTCAATTAGTTATTAATTAACAATTAAACAATGAGGCTGAGTTGTCTATGAGCGAATAGGCAACGAGGCGAAGCCGAGTTGACTATTTGCTCATGGACAACGAGGCCAAGTTGTCTAATTGTTTTAGCATAAACTTTAACATTAATTTACAACTAGGCTGCAAACACAATACAAAAATACACAAAAAACATTATAAAACCATTAAAAGTAAACAAATATTTTAGTTTTTGTTCGCGTAAAGTGTTTTACAAAATTCAGTTTTTATTTTAAAATTTCATTGAGTGTATGTTATTTTGTCTATTTTCTTACCCTTAAAAATTGCCATTCCATATTTTTGCTGCTTTTTTGGGGGGTTTTTAGTACAGAATTGTTCAACAAGTCGTCCAAAAAATCATCAGACACTTCGGCAAAAGTGCAAAACGCGAATTTTCCGCCATTTTGAATTTTCTATTAGTAGGCTATCACTACTAGTAGCGTAGCCAATCAGAAGGCACGATATGTGATAGCCTACTAGTAGGTTTATACTAATATGAGATAGACATTGTCTTAACTCATGCTATGGCAAGTACTGTGATTGTCCTTTCCAAAACGTGAATTTCCCTACAAAATACCAACAAACAGAATTGCGACACTTATGCCAACATTTTAAAACATTTTATTTTAGACAGTGAAATCATATATGCTCGCTTGGCTCTTGTTTCAATGAGTACTGTCACTGAGTACTGAATGTCACAATACAGAAAGACTGGCGGCCGGCACGTCTAACAATCACATTTTGATTTGCAGTGTATTATTATATCGCAATAAGCTCTTGCAATTACTCTTTGTTATGTAAAATGAAGTAGAAAATTTTGCATGTTTAAATTACTTGCACAAATAATTCTCAATTATCTAAACACATTGGCTTAATTTCAAACTAGTATCGTATAAATTGCCTTCTTTTGAGAATAACTGGAATTTGTTATATAGCTAGTATGAACACCAAACGTGATTGGCTGATTTGTAGTCACGTGGCTTTACATAAATGCAATGTATCCCACCCGGGCAATAAGTGAAAAATTGTTGCCCGCCCCGACCGGCTACATACATAAATAAACAAAATGGTGGCACAAATTTATACTATTTAAAGGCAGAATACACCACCCCATGTGACCTTAAACACAGCTGTTGATTGATGACCATGACACAGACAGCTCATATTTCACGCAAATATGTAAATACTATAGTTCTGTTGAATATGGCGGAAAGTGAAGAGGATGCGTCTGTATTAAACTATTATGGATCATCACTTTTCCAAAGCGAAGAAAGCGAGATGGCGATGGATTCATCGCTTGAAGAGTCAGATGAATCTAGCGAGGTAAATGACTGCTTTTTCGTATAAATATTTGAAACTAATTTGCCAAAATAGACAACAACTGATAAATATAATTTGTATATTTTACAGTCGATCGCCCCACCTGCAGTGAATTGCTCATGTAAATCACAGTGTATGCACAAACTGAAAACCACTGCAAGTGGAAAAATAACTGGCTGTGTTTGTAAAGGTAACAGAGTTTTGTGTGGAGAAAACTGCTCTTGTGGTACCAATAGTAAACCATGTCAGAGTAAGGTAAGGTACTTGTGCAGCTGTGCCTTTCATGACTATTTTATATAGAGAAAATAATTGTTTTCTTCTTGCTGCAGGCACAACCTCGGAATCAAACAGGCAGAGACACAGTAGCACCACAAAGCGAAACAAATGAGCAGAGTGAAGTGTCAGTCGAGGTAATTTGCATGATATTTGCAATTATCGCGTTCCGAATATTTTAATGTTTTTTGAGGAAGATGAATAAACTATAAACTGAAACAAGCCATAGGGTGTAGGCTATATAATCCATTAAAATGTGGTTGCAATAAAGAGTTTCCATGTGTTTCTTTGTTGGAGTTTATATTGCCCCAGGGCTTTCAGAATTATTCAGAGTAGGTGTCTGTTTTGATATGTAACTATTAAAATGTGGGTGCAATAAAGAGTTTCCATGTGTTTCTTTGTCGGAGTTTATATTGCCCTTTCAGGGCTTTCAGAATTATTCAGAGTAGGTGTCTGTTTTGATAAAGTAGGTGGCTGTGGGGATATAAAAAAGAATTGATAGCTTACTAAAACTTTGTGACACCTTCTGGTTATTTTGAAAGCCCTGCCTGTTTAAGTTTTTACAATTATTTGCTCTACCATCTGTTATTTAGGAAATGACTGATGGGTTGGACAGAGAGACCCTAGTAAAAGTGGCAAAGGAGGGTTTTATGTCCCGACCACTAGTGTTAAAAGACTTGATTGCCAAAGTTACAGCAGGTCCAGAGGAACCCCAACAATCAAGCGAGACATCTGAGGTACAGTTCTGTGTTTGTGGGTATTGCCGCGAGATGCCAACAGACAAAGAGAGGGTATGCTGTAAAGAAAGGCATTCCAAAACATTTGCCTAGATTCTGATAATTTGGTAACTGTCATAAGGAGTCTAGCAGATACATATGTATTTACTCCAACATACGACAATCGGGCAATGAGGCATGCAGCCTACAGACAATATGTTATGTGGATACATGGTCATTTGGGTAAGGGTAATCGGAAAGTCATTCCCTCATGCTGTGCATGGAAAATAAGAAAACATTACCCATCACCCGATGGTCGGTACACTGGATTCAAGGAGAGATAAAGACAATATATTTTTTTCATATTTCCTTTCTTTTGCTGAACACTGAACAACAGTACATATATACACACTAACATAAATTCCCATAAATCATTTATTAATAATTAACTGGCAGTACCCTACCACTGACAAGGAAATTGTTCTGGTTTTACAGTACATCTGTTACCATGATATCCACAATGTACTGTGCTTCGATGTGCTCTACTTAAGTATTGTAGTCTTCCTAACACCAGACAAATTTACCTGTGAGTGGTAGAGTACTGCCAATTCATTAATGCAAAGTCAAAAAATTGCACTGTTATATATTAAATCATTGTTGCATGATAGCCTAAAATCTTGAGATATGTTCTTTTACAAGCTCTGATGTTGATGGAGCAGGGAGACTTGCAATTGTTGGAGCAACTTTCTTCGGATTTTGCTCGGAACTCACAGGCTTTATCTTCTTCATGAACTCCTTGCTGGCTTCTTTAACTCTTTATCGTCCGGCGATAAATTTGATATTTTTCATTGAATTACTTCTGATGAAAATATCTCGATGAGTATTCACCCCCCTTTAAAACCGAAACCACCATTGGAATCCTCAAATAATAACCTTTCGAACGGAGGGTCAAATGCCGTCATAACATTACACAAACCAAAACAATCGTATATTTTACTCACCGCTTGGCCAAACATTTTGAATTTGATATCAAGAGAATCTTGAATATGTCTTGAACTCTTCGGTATTCGCCTCATGTCAATATAAGTAAAATACTACTTGTATTCAAGCGCTTTCGTGTAGAAAATTTCGTTTGAATAGGGCCACTTGAAATATTTATTTTGAATTTTTCAATATATCGGGTTTTTACTCGCACGCACGTGTCTCGTGATAAAATTGTCCAATAAGGAGCTCCTGTAGCCCCATGCACGTGCAAATCACGCTGTAGGGGTAATTTGACCTTTAGAATCGATTTCCGACGTTTCCCGAGTGATAGGATGTAAGCACGCAATGTTTTGGCAAATCTAATATGAATTTCCGGTTGAAGCTCTCGCGTAAAATTTGGATATTTTGAAATACCAAAATAAAAGATGCAAATCAGTAGATATAAGCTTGAAAATAACACTCTAAATAGTGTTTTTGATTGTGAATCGAACAAGACTATTACGAAAAAGATATCTTGAAAGGGGCCGAAGTTATGTTCGACGAAAGGTATGCCTTAGTAGACATTGCTTACATATTTCGGGATTATTGTGTAATATAATGAAATATGAAGTCGCTTGACCTCTAAAGGTCGTAAATCGCTAAAATATTGACATTTTACTAACTCTATCGATAGGAAATTTCCTACTGAATCGAACAGTGTTATTTTCATCTACATAGCATGCACTGAACCAAAGATATAAATCTCCGAAGAACCAGGACGGTCCAGTCCTGGTCTAATTGGCACCGGACGAAAAAGAGTTAAGCAGATTGGCACACAGAACAAGAAGATAGCTGTATGTTTTCTTTTCTTTCACAATCACCACCTTCCATCTTTTAGCTCGCTTGCTCCAACATCTAGAGAAGACCAATTCCCCTTTGGCATTTCTGGCTTGTTTTCGATGGAGGTGGTGATTATGGTCAATAGCAGCAACAAGACTGCGAGCAAACAAACCCTCATATCTATGAACATATAAAGTACAGTTGATTAATTAAAGTCTGGTTAATGAAAGTTGAATTTCAATCAATGATTTCTACTCTTATCCAGGGCCGCTGAGAAGGGGGGGGGGACTTTGCACTGGGCCCCCAGCTCAAAAGTAGCCCCCAAAGCAATGAAGGCCCTTCGCTAGCTGCGTTGGCCGGGATAATATGCAATAAAGTGTAATACATTGGAAAAACGCTTCTCCCATTTTACAATTATGACCTCATAGGGCCCCCCATGGGAAGTTTTGTCCTGGGGTCCGTCTTGGCGGCCCTGCTCTTATAATTTCAGTGTATTGTATAGTGTAATTCAAGTAACTTTTAATACTCACTTGAATCCAAATCGTTTGGGAGCATACATCAATCTGTGGCTATGATATGCCTCTAATTTTCCAGTGTGCCTGCAAAAATATAATGAATGCATGCAAACTTGCAACAAATCAGGGCTGTACATATCACAAGGCAAGTGTTATTTTCAGTGAGCTGAGAAGAAGGAAGGTCGGAAAATTTTTCTCTCACTGCATGGTGCATAGCGGAAGATTAAGAAGGGTGTAAGAGGGTGGTGTAGGTAATTCCAGCACAGCAGCTGTCATCAGTGTTAGAGAATTCGTATAATAAATATGAGAGCCCAACATATAACTTTTAACAAAGCCACTAAAACAGTTTTAAAAGATTGTAAAGAATTTTAATTGTAATGTTTCGTCTTTAACTTAAGACATCTTCAGACTAGATAAAATTACACGAGATGTGAATATATATAAGCTAATTAGAATCTATTTACAAGGTGTTATGTTACTAAGGATAATAAAGGATAAGAGGGTGTATGTAAGACAGGACAATACAAATGAGGAAACAAAACAGACACAAGAAAACGGCAA